TGTTGGAATATTATTTTCCAACTGAGCACGAAGATCCAAGCTTGCATGTTTAGTTGATTTAGCACCTGGATTAGGAAGAGGACGTCTGGTATGATTATTATTAATGTGGGTGCTCTCGAGGGATGCAGCGTGTGCGAGGATGACAGGACGTGAAGGGGCAGGGGCTGGGATAGGTGCCGGACGTGACGGGGCCGGGGTCTGAGCGGCACGTGCAGGCGGGGGGAGGGATTCCGGACGTGACTTGAGGGATTCCGGACGTAACTTTGGGGTTGGAAGGGGGCGTCGGATTGGAGTAGGGTTAGGGAAAGATGTCGGTGGTGGGCGATGTTGCTGGTGAGGGTATCTTAACTGGGATGGTATCTGGATCTGAGTCGGGTGTTGGATCGGGTATGCTGGTCGGGGTGATATAGACCTGAAACCTTGAGATTGTGGTGGTGGATCCCGTGGTGCCGTTGTGTATGCCATCCTCCAACCTTCTCAAGGTGTTCAATGTAACACCCTACCGCGTGTCCTAAGAGAGGCTGTCCATACATCATTTAACCAACGCGTACATCACATGCACAAATATACCAAAATAAACTCGGCGGACCCGGCATATGTCAAACTTTAAATTTTCTCTTTAGCTTCGACTATCCGATATAGAGACTAAAAATTCCTATTATACAGAAGCCTATACTTATCGCTAAGTGCTTAACTTTTACCACCCCTCGCACCGACCCAGTAAGACCCATTAGGCCACTCAAACTCGGCAATGCTCTCCTTGTACATCTCAATACTATACCCTTCCTTTGGATTACTCGGAACATTGTACCTCCCCCTTTCGTTCATGGTACACCTGTAGGGAAAGTGCTCATGCAAGTGGTCCGCGAATTCTAACACATTTCGTTCCATCGTTCCGGAAATTGCGACGTAGTCAATCACGCTTAACCTAATGGTCAGGGACACTACTTTCAGCGAAAGGATCTACACTGACCTCAGATGGATAACATATTCGCATAACCCAACGCCGCCAGCATGTGGGCAGACTGGGACCCCAAACCTTCGAACATGGCCATTCAGCATGTCGTCCGAATGAAAAAGTGAAAGTCTCCTCGTGCTCACTTTGCAGCCATCAACAACACGCTCAGAACCTCACTGACACCTGCGAGTCTGCAGGAATCAATCTGACAAACATCGATCGCTTCTGCCTGGAACAACTGCTTGAACACCATACGGTTATGAGCATGTTCCCCAGTCGCAACCCCGATCCCGTACGGCTTGAGTGCCCGCCTGATCGCAGCGTGTCCCAAAGCATCGTCAGGTGCTGTAGGTTCTTCGATAAACCTGGTAGTATCAAGGGTCAGCTCTCATAACTGAAGTGAAAATGAATAGTACAAACCAAGGTTTGATTTCCGCTAATCCAGTCACATAATCTATTGCCTGTGGGACATCCCAAACCTGGTTCGCATCGATCATCAACACAGCACCAGTCGGACCTGCGTTCTTGCCAGCCAGTTCTGGGCTCGAAGGGTCCTTGAATCCAGATGGGTAATTTGCGGGGTCGTCGATGATAGAACGGATCATCTTGCCTCTGCGCAAGTCATCCTTGAAGTCGGCGCCTACTTTCATCTTGAAGTGGTTGAACCCATTTGCAAGGGCCTCCTTCGTGAGATGAGACACTTTCTCATCCGAATATCCTGCAGGACTTCTCAGCAAAGTCAGTAGAATCAATAGGCTTTTCCTCACCAAGCCAGCCCGCTGATGTGATGTATGCTGGATACCTGCGCTTGTCAGTAAGATGTGGATAATTGAGATGTACGTCGATAAACCCTACCCAACTTTGGTAACAAGGGCTTCCCTTTCACGCTTCCCAGCTTCCTTGGCCTCAAGCATCTCAAGTGCTTCTTCACGTGTTAGTACGTCTGTGATATAACGAAACGCAGTCGCGTTTACTAGCTCTTCCTGTGTGTGTACTCATAGTGAATTTAAACGGGACAGGCGTAGAACAATGTCACGAACGGGAGTCATATCAACAATCAATTTCCATAGGGGTTTGCCTCTGGCACGAGCAAACATGTCCCACATGGCGTTGTTCACTGCAGCTGTTGCAAGGTGAATCACACCCTTCTCTGGACCGATCCTTGAAAACAAATCCACAGTCAGATCACAGACACCAAGGTAAAACAACATAATTCAGGAAGAAGCCAAACTATTGAGCCATACGCGACGACCTAGTGTCGATTCAGCTGAATGTTCGAGCACTCACCATCGCAGCTGCGAGTCGGAGCACATCCAGTCCCAAGCTTTACCCATATTCTCGAAAAAGCTCTCCGGATTCCGTCCGACCAAACGTGCAGCAAGTTCCCGGATCGCATGGCACACCTATGACGCGAAGTAAGTGATGATCAGTAACATATTTCCAACAGAGCGAGAGAAGTGATGCAACGATAAATAGATCATCTACCAAAATTTGTGACGAGGAAGCATGTACTAAAAGCGCCAAGCTTTGTTCACTCACAATGTCAGTACCACGACCAATGGTGAACGTCATTCCATGACCGATAAGCCCACTGTCAGTGTATATGGTAACATATGCTGAACTATAATCGCAATCTGTATTCCTGAGGCACGTGTGATGAAGATCATCGCAGATCACGACATGGGCATCGGCTTACATCGCATCAGTGCCATCACCCGTCAAAGATGTGGGAAATCGAATATCTATTATCGACGGCAAACAAGATGGTCAGTGCACGCGCACAGGGAAAGCAACGAACCCCACCATGAGTTTCGAAATGTGTGATCTTGATAGTCATTGTACGAGGAGTGTTTAGCGTTGCCGATGTCACGGTTGATTTGAGCGAAAGAAAGAAAAGCGGAAGATGTGCCACCGTAGTCCTACTCCACTTGTATTTATGGAGTCTTGAGGATGGTGCTGAGAGGTTCTACCGGTGCGAACGCTAACCCTGGACGACCAGGTGACGCATAGACACATACAGGGATATATCACAAGACAGTAAGTACTACACTTGGTCCGAGTCGATATGTGCGGTGACCGGACAAACTGCTGGCACGCGAACTGGTATGCGCTACCCGGTCCGCCGGTCCGCACGAAGCTTAAAACATATGCATCCCCGTCACTAGCTTTACCTTATGTTCAAGGCCTTGGTAGTAGTAGACAAGCGCGTCGGTTAAATGGGTAATTGACGGACCACAGTGGCCTTAGACTGCATCCACTTCTTCAGTCGACGGCCCGGTGAGTATCTCACTGACTCTGGCAGTGGGTGTGTTTTCTGCCCATATGTCTCAAATTTCACCGAGACTAGCCCCACATGTTTACTCTGACAGCTGGTCCTTCTAAATTTAGTCTACTACTGAGGCTTCCGTTTCAAGCTGGTGCGACTTGTGTAATACCATCTATCCAAATCATTTCATGACAAGTACTACTTGACCTTTCCAGCTTGAATCATATGACGAGGACTTTCACTAACTAATTGGATTCATTGACCTCCCAGGCGTGTCGGTGGCCTTCAACTATAATTATCATCATCACAACCGCTGTCACAAACCCAAAGGCCCCGCGTTTGAACCGAGTGCCTACGATTCTTGCACCTGAGCAGACCACCCTGACCTGACCTGTAACTACGTGTAGATGCGGCAGCCGGACAGATGAACTCAAGATCGACCTGCTGTCGGTACGTCACCGAAACTTGTACATGTTGCCATGTCTGTCTCAGAACCATACCAGTTAACAATGCTAGCATGCAGTAATGTGCGATCGCAAGGGAGGATAGGAACTACAGAGCACAAAGATGAGATAAAGACATGAAAAGAGCGACGTATCGGGGTAAGATCGACGAAGGCTTTTGTTGACAGTGCATGAATGGAAACTGATGGTAAGGCAAATGAGCTGGCTGTTACCCGGATACTCGTCCGTCATTTAGTTCCAACTCTTCCCACCACCCATCAAATTAACTCTCAACACCGATATGACAAATATTCCCCTTCAAACCACGCGCATCAAGCAGGTTGCGCGCTCAGTTCACATCCTCAAGGGTCTCTTTCTTCTCTTCGGCTGCGGCTTGCTCGCCCTCAACATCGAAGTTATCGACGAGATCAGGCACTTCATCATCATCATCCTCAGCGGCACCGGTAGGCGGCCTCTGTTGCCCTTGCTGGATGGCCTGGTATGATTCCGCAAGTTTACGGAGCGATGCCAATGAATCAGGGCCAAGTTGATTTAAGATGCCAGGGACGAGCTCAGTAAGCTCCTTGACGTGACCAGTTCCATAGATCGCAAACGTGTTGGCGGAGACCGCGGCATGTACTACACAAGGCAAGAAAAACACAAATTAACACAAATCTTATCTGACGGGACGCCGAACACGAGCTTATCTACTCGCAAGCGACGTAGAAATTCGTACACACCTTTTGGGGCAGTAAAATGCAGCACGTTTCCATCTTCCCTGAACATATTAACCTCCTCTACACCAGGGATAGGTTGCACATTCAGTTTCTTGAGGGCACCTTGGAGTTTTTTGTCATCCTGTGCGGCAGAGGGCTTGGTCTTCCGGACGATTTTCCGACGCATGGTCCCTTTACCACCTGCAACGCGTCATCATGTTAGCCTTGATTGAGCACACATATATCAAGAAGAAAGAAGGAATGGAAGCTATAAATTCCGCGGTGTGATATAAAACACTTACCGATCCTGTTGGCTGCAGCCTGCGCCTGAAGTTTGGCCAATTTTGTGGGATCCATGATGTTTTGCGGCGAGGGTTCACGTCCCTTGGTGATGCGACGGTGAAAAGTTACAGACTAAGGTTTACGCGCAAATATGTGTACACAAACGCTAGTACAGCGGTCCTGAATTTGTACCACAAACTTATACGTATTTGGGCACCACAATCACCCGTTAATTTGGAGGGGGATTCCCCAAGTACTTAACCATAGCTTATCCCTCAGGCTGGAATTAACATCAAGTCCGTCGACGACCTTTTGGAAGAATCATATACCTAGAGATGACCCTTACATTTCACATTCGTCCGGCTAACGTAGATGATGTGGTGAGCACATAACGCATTGCTGACGGAGCGCTGTTATCAGCACTGATAAGATTAATGACTCAGGACGCCATGCTCAAGTTGGTTCAGGATCTTGTAGGTAATCGCCCTTGCCTCGAGATTTTCATACACTGCAACTTGCCACTTTTATCTAGGCGACGTATGAAAACGAACCCGAGTCCGCAAGGGCTACCCCTGCTCTGGTGAGTCGTTTGAAAGGTCGCGGAGTCATACTCAAATGCCGTCAAAGTTTCGAGAAAATATATTCGAAAAGAAATATGCGCACACCCTCCTCGCGTTTGATGGGACGCCCGAGGTACCCGGAATAGCATTGGGAATGGCGCTGTATTTCTTCAATTTTTCAACGTGGACAGGCAAGCCTGGCCTCTTTGTGCGTCTAGATTCTGATTCGCCTACGCTGCACCGCGATGCTACCTCTTTATTAATACTTCACATATAGCTTGAGGACTTGTATGTATCCCCGGATGCAAGAAATAAGGGCATTGGTAAAGCCCTTTTCGCGGAGCTGGGCAAGGTAGCGCAGGAGAAGGTAACATCACACGCTTCTTTCCGAGGACCTTAGCTGATGCAGCCTCCGGCCCACAAGGGCTGCGCACGCCTCGATTGGTCGGTACTCAAGGTAAGTCACACTTGGCTGATCGTGCTACCAATTTTTCAGCGGATTAATTCTTTTGATATTTGTATATCATTCTTTCATTCAGTGGAACACGCCATCGATCGCATTTTATGAAAAGAAATTGGAGGCTCAAGCAATGGAGGAATGGATGGGTATGCGGCTGGAGGAACAAGGAATCGAGAATCTGCAGAAGTTCGCCGTCCACGCCGCCTGAAAGAATTGAAACAGGGTCTTCTATATCCCGGGCCAGTAATAGCATAGGTACCGTTGCGCAATGCGATGTCAGGGTGCCTCTGTATGACGCACGAGCTGATCAAAAGACTTATCGGACCTCGGGCGCAGTCGATGCGCAATACAAGTGGTAAAATGAGTCATATAAATCCGACGGCATACAAGACGCATTAGTGCAGGGCCAGGAAATTGAGAGCACGACTTTGTGTGATGTAAGCTACACCCCGTCGTAACTAGCCCCACCTGCCTGACAAGATTAATGTGAGACCAGGAGATATTCCCCGCTCTAGATTTTTTAGAATGCTCACCTTCCGCAGCTTCACCACAATCGGATCCTCCTTTAAATCGTCCTTTTCCCGAGCAGGAACTTCGATAGAGTAGACACGCAACACCTGCTTGACATCGGCTGCATGGACGGAGATCTGCGAGATAATATAGCAAAGAGTCATGTCAGACTAAGTACTACATCATCCGAGTCATTGTCATCGATTGACTATTGAAAGGCAGTGCAGGCGCAGCCCGCCGCCACCGCGTGTGTTGTTAAAATTGGAAAACAAAAAAAGATATTCATACACGCCGTAGCACACGTAAAGAAACAGACTAAGGACTGACCTTGGCCTTCCGCATCACTTTACACCCAGGACCGATCCACACTACTAGAATGAATTTCTCCCGTTGAGATTCCTTGTCATTGGAGAAGGTGACGCGAACGTATGCGTAAGACGCTTTGGAATCGCCAAGTGCATTGCGTAACTCGGCGAGACCACCCGTTCCCGTCTGTGTGACTCTTAGCTTGTCAGACCGGTCAGACTAAGTGTGTGATTATCGTAAGGAGGACCTAAACGCATGAAGGCAACCGGACCCGCTTGGAAACTTAAATTCTGACCTCATAATCGAGTAGAAGCCAGTTAGTGTCGGATTTGTCGGAACGAACATCCTGGTAAGCTGTAAGGATCAGCACCACGATGCTGGTTAACCCAATTTCACTAAGCGATGCGCTGTAATTTCGCAGACTAACCTTCATCGATTTGGGGATCGGATAGGTCGGCCATCGGGTATAATCAGGCGCGTTAAATCGAATAAAAAATCTTTGCAGAACAGAAGGGAAGGAGGGGAAGAGAACAGGTCAATACGATAAGCTGGGAATTGATGGCAGTGGCTTCCTTCCTAGGAAATGGTTTGAAAGTCGAAGCAGTCACGAAACCACTCGGCAAGTACCGTGACAACCCGCCTACCAATTTTACTCACAAAGTTTGTTACATTTCCCTTTCCCGGGTGAACATGCAAGGCATCCAGTTTACAACGAGGTTCAGCTATCATAAGTTGACGTCACTACTTCGTACACCATCACACCACGCGCAGTCTTGGTTTCACAAAAGCTCGCTCTCTAGGTACTATTCCACTACCAATGAACCAAAGAAAAGGGACTGGAGACTAGCCGGACACCCTGCGCCTCTGTCCCTAGCAGAAGGAGAAAGCCTCGATTTGAGTGAAGATGAGCCACCCGCGAGGCGACGGAAGCGCGCGCCGGTGGAAAACACACCAGAGGAGTGGAGACGTCACCGTCTCGCCATCAAGGAGGCTTTTCCTCAGGGGTGGTCCCCTCCACGTAAATTATCTCGTGAAGCCATGGACGGTATGCGTGCCATGCATATCTATGACAAGCGTACGTTTTCGACGCCGGTGCTTGCTGAGAAGTTCAAGATCAGCCCGGAGGCTGTCCGCCGCATCTTGCGGAGCAAGTGGGAACCGTCGAGAGAACAACGAGCGAGATTTGCAGAACGGGAGCGACGGTCGAGGGAGGAACGAAAGATGCAGAGTAGGCTTGAAGAGAAGAAACAGAACATGGAACTGATTTCTGAGACTGCCACGATACCAGAGAGACCCAATCGGAGAGATGAGCGGCCAAAAGGGCTTAATTCGAAGGACGGGTTATACTTTGGTTAACAAAATTACTGGGATCGACGGATTGGCATTGCTCAATATGTTCACACCTGCACGCTTAGCTTATATCATCGATCACAGAACCATGTAACATGCCCAACGTGTAAAAGCTTTTATACAGAAATGGAGCATCGTAGCGCTACATGGGAATCGTCAAGCAGGCATATTACTTCTATCTAACCTAGATTATTAAGTCACACAGATATCTAGCAAACGAGAGGGAGCGGTGACGGGTAACAACTTATAAGTACTTTATGGGCATACTAGTGTCGGAGCCGGTACAGTTTTTGAAATGAAGTATAAGGTAAATAAATGATGTGTGTCCAGTGGGTTTGTGACTAGAACCGTGTGGGTAATGTAGTGATGTGATGTTCGAAAAGGGCTCAACAAGATCTTAGTTTGTGGGCAGGGTGAGAAGGATTGTCCGAAAAGTCAAGGCCAGCTTGAGTTAAAGTGAAAGCATGGATTTCTCGTGTTTGAGATAACACGAGCCCTGTTCTGGTCGGCACAGTAGAATATCGTTCCAGTTGGGTTGAGGTGGTGCGTCGAGTTGCTCGCCTTTCTTGTCAACAAGGGAGTACCGGAAGCCAAGTAGCATCATGGAGGTGACAAGCTTGAGCTCAAGTCGGGCCAAGCGTTGTCCAAGGCAATGCGTCTTACCTTGTTACCGGAAAATTAGGTTTGCTAACAAGCGCGCAATCGACAACGTGACTTACCTCCCCCCCAACCGACGTAACCGAACGGAACCGTCGCCTCCTGGCGGCTAGGATCGAACCTCCATGGATCAGGGTAGACGTCCGGATTGAGATGAACGTCCGAGAAAGGATATAATACATATGCCCCTGATGGGATAGTCTTCCCGTCGATTGTCACGTCAGGTCCAAGGTTTCGGCGCATGGCAGTATGAGGTTGCGCAATCCTGAGAGTTTCGCGAATAAGAGAATCAAGAACGGGTGTCTCAGATTCCCAAGCCTCCAGTGGAATGGACGAAAGTTGTTGTGACAAAGAGTAGGAGACGTTAGGAGAGACGTGGTTGGCTAGGAGTTGCTCCACTTCAGCGATTACTTCATCCTTGGACTCATGATCACCAAGATAAGTAATGAGCCACGAAGCCGTTGTTCCAGTAGCACGTGCACCAGCAACTAGCAGACCCAAAATGAACTGTTGAAATGTCAGATGACTCGGAATGGCCATGCTCAACAGAAAGACTTACACCGACGATGACAAGCCTTTCGTCTTTTTCGTCGAGAAGCATCTGCAGAGTGTCAGGTTTAGATATTCCACTGCGCTCCCGTTCATCAATGGCCCGGACGACAATGTCGTAGATTTTTTTGGTCGCCCACAGCTTCTTAAGCATGCTAGGTCCAGGAAGCCATGGAAGTAAGACAGTCGCAGGCGTTGTCCCACTGTCCAAGGTGTCGTAGAGTTGCTTGAGACGCGCAACTTGGACAGGATCGTCTGCCAACTCCTCGCAGGAGAGCGATCGTACAGTAATTTGGAATAAAAGCTGTAGCATAGATGGTCAGGAGTTGGGACGAGCCTAGTGAATCCAAAAACGAACTTCGTAAATTTTTTCAAATGGGTCAAATGTTCCCGATGGTCCCCACGTTTCCATTACCCTTCGACAATCCTCCAAAATGGGGGCAATGACTACGCAAGATGATAAATGAGATAAGATAGAATAAGTGAATGAATAGATGCAACGTACGGCCACTTAAGTGTTCATTTCGCTGAACGGAGGAGAGACGCTTATGGATTTGCGCAATGCGCTTGGTTTGAAGGTTTGAAGTTACCCCTTTGACAACAGGGATCTAAGTAGCGTCAGGATTAAATGTCTTCAATCATAGAAAAAGATGCTGACAGCTCCGGAAAGCATTTTAAAGCCTTCGGTGAGGTCGAAGTGCTTGTTGGCGAAAAAGGATTTCCGGGCTGACTCTCCGGAAACAACAATGACCGTCTCCTGCAAACATCGTAGTGAGTGGTCGCCGGAGAAGATTTGGTACTATAACGCTTACTCGGAGCATGTTGAACTGAAAGAGGGACTGGCCAGTTTTATGGAAACCATTGTTCAGAAACTCGAAACGTCGGCGGAAGAATGGGGTGATGGCGAGGAGATGAGAGCCGGGGAGAAATACTGGGGCGCCGTCAACAGCACCATCTTTTTGAGAGCCAAAACCGAAAAATAGAAGAATAAAGAGAATAAGCAAAGCGAGAGCCACTTGGGCCTTTAGGCTAGAAAGAAGAAATGCGTCGGCAGCGGATTGTAGGCCGACCGTATACATGATACAAGCTGTCGGACGCGAAAGATAATACTTGAGTACGGCAACCAAAACTTGCGTGATGGCGCGACTTTATATGCCACAAGTCCATGGCCCATGGGTCATTACACCGTGTACAAGACGCCAACATGTGGCCTCGCCTGTATGCACACATGAGTGCCTTTCGGTGATGATCAGATCTTTAATTTGTCGGTTCCGCAAACGCGGTAAATACGTAATTGTCTCGTGGCCCGTATGTGTTACATACGTCTTGTGTCGGAGACAATGACGACGCTCTGCAGTGTAGCCTAACGTACTTTGTGCTGCATTTCCTTAACCTCCATTGGCCGCAAGAGTTAGTACATCCGGCCCTGCATCGCAGCACTGTCTAGTACCTAAAAAATAAAACTCGAACAAAGCCTCGAGGTCTTGGTGTGGCATGGCATCTTTGCATCTACTCGTCATCATCCGTCGGACGCCGGTGCATTAGAGTCTCGATCCCGTTCACCACAAAATACGTCTATCATCTAACGTACACGTCACCTTCGTCCCGAGGACTCCCGCATACAGCGCGCGGTCACCAAAGGCAAACAATCAAGACCATTCAATCTGAGGATGACCAAACTTCCATTAGGCTTACGGATACACCCTGCAACGTGCATTTTGTTTCCGCGCTAACGACTCCGCCGGAGCCGTGAACCTGCTGTACAGGCGAAGACTGGGGGCATGTTCCGACAAAATCTTTTCCCAGGGCTGTCCAACCACAGCGTAATACCCACGACGCAGCGACGCAACACCAGCATGTCACAATTTCCATCCGTTTAAGCCAGAATGCCAATGATCGAAGGCAGTCAATACACACATCCAGTGAGCCAGAGCGGCCAGGACCACACAAAAGTGAAATATCTGATGTGATGCGAAGAGTAAGTCGAATTTCCCTGGGGCCAGACATTCCGGTATGCGATTGGCGCTGCGCGGGGATGAATTGTAATGTCAGGCATGTGTGTGAAGGCGGGAAATGAGGCCCTACGCACTAAATCAACGCGCCCGTAATGTATAGTCCGCCTGATGCGAGTAGCCAACCAAATCCCATTTCGGAAAATAGCTTCGATGCCCCATGCGATACCAATAAATGAGCAACTGGGACCACAGCGGACAATCCAAGACCAATGAAAACACCGGTACGTGCACCTCGATGTGTTGGTTTTGCATATTCAGGGTTGAGAACGATATATGCTGCTCCTTAAAACGTGTATTGGTAAATGACTTGCTAATGGACTGATACCAATTGACAACACCGACCTGCGCCAACTAGTGCGATGGAACATAGATAACAGGCTTGCAAGACTGGTTCACAGTAGAATCCGTAGTAAAGGCATGGTACAAAAGATCCGACGGTGAGGACTACGGAAGGATTCATCAAAATGGGATAGAGGTGGCGATACCTTCACTTACTGACGATCCCCGAATAGTCCAGTGCATGGCACTGGGTCGACACCTGTAATCAAATTCGAATCACGAGTCAGATCCTGTAGTCGGAACTTGGAGAAGGGCTGACCTGTGCCGAATGACAAGTGGCAGTATGGAACATGGCGCTCGCAGTGAGGCAGAACACTGCAGAGAGTAGAAATATAGCAAAGACAGAAGTATCCAGCCAAGTTGCAGTGCTGTACGCCAAGATATATTGCCCGCGGAATGTCATCAGAATCCAAAGGAATACCACAGCACCAGCAAGATGACTGAGAATGTTCACTGGAAAATGCAATGGATCATGTCTACTTGAGACAACAAGAAACTTACCAGTTTCGTTATGAGGATCTACTCAGAACAGAATCAATCAACGACATATAAATGTGAGGCAACTCAAATATCCTCACAACTGTAGATAGATGCAATGCAACCTGACCAGCAGTTCTGTACTCTAGTAACACAGTAGTCAATCAACCATTCGCAATGTGGCAAGTCGGGTGTCGATACCAAGTCTTACCGTCTGTATCCCATTAAAATATACTCGTTATCCCTCTGCCATTCTGGTATTTCGTGCCAGGAAAGCGTCATCCGTTGCTTGTCAGGACCAGTTTGCAAAATGTGGTATCCAGGGCCATTCTGATTGCTGAGGTTGCGCTTGCGTGCCTTGAGCTCGGACATATGGTAAAAAAACACTTCCAGGTATCGAGATTGAGAGGAAAATATGTGTAGGCTTGGTTGCAAGGTAGTACCGCTCAGCACATCATGCGCATGAAGTTTCAAATTTCAAGCTCCAAGTCAAAGCTTGCGTGACAGGCACAGCGGCACAGCGACACACTTGTCAGTCACAATTAAATTTAATGCACGTGAAGTACAGTGCACACTCGTCCCACACCTCTGTGACAAAGTGCCACCTCGCAAGTCTGGAGAATGTACCTAAGGTTGTTATCGATGTGAGCACAAATCTTGATAAGCGCCAATCTACAAGCTCATGTAGCGCTCAGCGCTCATTATTGAACTTCAATCGCTGAGATGACCTCGGCGATTGTTAGCTGTGTACAAAATCGTTCCATTACCATGGGGAATTTTCTTCTTGGAAGACTCAACATGATGGCCGCTTCAGTT